ACGCGAACTCAAAGTCTCTCAGAATTTGTAAAAAGCCAACCCAAAGTCTCTCAGAATTTGTAAAACGCGAAACCAAATTTTCTCAGAATTTGTAAAACGCGAACCCAAAGTCTCTCAGAATTTGTAAAACGCGATCCTAAAGTATTTCAGAACTTGTAAAACGCGAAGCTAAATTCTCTCAGAATTTGAAAAACGCGAACCCAAAGTCTCTCAGAATTTGTGAAAAGCGAACCCAAAGTCTCTTAGAATTTGTAAAACGCGAACCCAAAGTCTCTCAAAATTTGTAAAAAGCGAAACCAAAGTCACTCAAAATTTTTAAAAAGCGAAACCAAAGTCTCTTAAAATTTTTCAAAAGCGAACTTAAAGTATCTCAGAATTTTAAAACGCGAAACCAAAGTCTCTCAGAATTTGTAAAAAGCGAACCCAAAGTCTCTCAGAATTTGCAAAACACGAACCCAAAGTCTCTCAGAATTTGTAAAACGCGAACCCAAAGTCTCACAGAATTTGTAAAAAGCGAACCCAAAGTCTCTCTGAATTTCTGAAAATTAAACGCCAGGTTTCTCAAAATGAACAAAAACCACTCAGAATGTGTATGAGAAAATATACTTATGTTTTTTGATAGAAGTAAACAAAATCTAAGTAAAATTCTCTCCGAGAAATTTTTATTTTGTTTATATTTGACCATGAAATTTTTTACTCGAAACACTTGTATGCTTATTTTCTGATTAAATAAATTTTCTTTATCTTATACCAAAAGCAATTAAAACGAAAATTTGAAAATGTAGCAAATATCAATTTATTTATATATTTATTTATTTATTATGGACATTTTCGAATTTTTTCTGTTATTGTTCTCCTTAATTGTCCAATTAATTGAAGTTATATCATTTTTACCCTACCATCTCTTCACAGCTGTTTTCAATAAATGCAAATCTTCTACGATGATACACTAACATTATCAATAACGTTCGCATTCGGCAAGCTTGGTTTGCAATTTGTGGAGGCTACAGATTCAATAAGATAACCACCACTGTCTACATATTTGATGCCTTTAGCTTTGATGATGGAAGGTGGTACATCCCAGGCAAAGAATGAAGGAAGTCTTTATACGTATAGCCAGATTTTTAACTAGTGCGGAAAACCAACTCAATAGAGGGTATAAGAAACAATAGACACTAAACTTGCGTATATAAAGAACTCCAAAAAAGAATACAAACAACAAAAAATGTGAAACATTTAGACCAAAAATGAAAAACTTTTAGCAAAAGACCTCGCAAAAGAGACAAAATAATCCTTAGAAGAAAATCATACCCCATTTTCCGGAAATTATAAAGACCGTTATGAGCAAGATATTACATAAAAAACTTTCAACAAAACCCTAAAAGACAATTAATAGAATGTACTATATGTACTGTGAGTTCAATGTCCAAACCGTATTAAATTCCAGCGACCCCCCAAACGCATACGCACCTCAAAACAAAATATAAATCAAACAACACCATCCTATACACACATTCAATACCATCCCATTTACGCATAATCATTTATAAACATAAAATCCCTAGCTTACTAGCCGAACTTAACCAACTTTACATTCAAGTTTCGGAACCAAATGCTACATGAAAGCAAAAGAAGACAATACCAAACATGAACGATTTATACGGGCTAACAGTTTTTAAAAATGGCCTAGGTGATTCCGTTCAAAATTTAAATAGCAACATCAGAAACTATCAACAACTATTTCAAAATCGGATACATCGCCTAAGCGAAGGCATCTAGGACATAAGAATATTACATCACGACAAGTAAAAAGTTGATACGTCACTGCGAATAACCATAAAAGGAAATGAGGGTTTACATCTAATTATCCACCAACTACCTGGAGAATATTCACCCAAATCCATCAGCAGAACAGGCTTATGTAAAAGTCCGTCAGGGTGACAGCAGATATAGCATTGAGAATTTGATTGCTGATAAAAGCTTATTGCCCGAAAGCTGGAAAAGCCTTCAAGCGTATGGTAAACTTCTCGGAGTCAACTTGTGTTCCTAGCTGCTCCCTCAAATACCATTCACCTTCACTTTTCTCGACCAGACACGCGAACTCATCGTCTGGTGCAAGAAGCAAGCATTTATCACTTGGACAGTATACCTCCATAGATTTGAGTATGGTTGAGTATTGAACAGTAGTTTTTCGCCATTACCCGAAATGCAAATCCAAGAATTCGGATTTATTAAACCTAAATAAGGGATTTGCTTAAATTTTCGTTACGGAATTTGGTGCAAATCGCTAAAAATTATGTAAATAGTTGAAACATGTCCATACATACATAATAATTCAATGTGTAATTACACTGGGTATAGTTCAAACGCTAAGCTTTCAAAAATCTTCACTCATGCATAAGCCTTAATAGCAGTGTACTCGATTTCCTCTTTCTGTAACTCGTTTTGAATTGTAAACAATTTCCTATTTCTTTCAAACCTTCCTTTTGAATTCATGTGGTTTTCTGTATTTTTTCATACCTCCGTTTGAATTGATAAGTTTTTCCTATATTTCTTTCACACCTCTTTTTGAATCCATATGTTTATCCTATATTTCTTTCACACCTCCTTTTGAATTGTAAACACTTTCCTATATTTCTTTCATATCTCCTTTTGAATTCATATTTTTTTCCTATATTTCTTTCACACCTCCTTTTGAATTCGTATGTTTTTTCTATATTTCTTTCCCACTTCCCTTTGAATTCATATGTTTTTCCTATATTTTTTCACACCTCCTTTTGAATTTATATGTTATTCGTACATTTTTGAATCGAATTTCCAATCTCAAATTCAAATGATTGAATATATAAAACAATAAAATTTGTCAGAATCAATGCAACTGTTACTGTTCTTAGTGATAAAATACCACTAACAGTCAGCGGCCACATATGTACCCACTATTTTTTTTTGGCGATTTTTGATTATATTTTCATTTTTCGATTTAATATTATTATCATTATTATTATTAATTTAGTTCGACAAACAAATTCTCACACTAAAATCAGTTTTTTGTGGCCATAAGAAATAGTGACTCAATATACGTGATTGTCTACGGATTTTCCGTATATGAAAAATTTAATAAACCGACTTTTTGGAAATTTTTTTATAAATCTGAATAACTCAATATCTTCTCTAAATGAATTCCCTTTTTAGAAATTACTTCGGTTCTGTTCTTTAAATTTTTTTAATAAATTTTCCTAGCTTCTATTGTGTTTTTTGTTTATGTAAACATCACACGGGTATGGCAAACAATAATTTCAGTCAATAATCTCTCAGTTCTGTTCCTTATTTTGCCTAACATTTACTTATTATCTTTCTAAGCAGATTGTAAATTTGATACTTGATTGTTTCCATTCCATTTATTACGGTTTAATATTTAAAACAGCGGTTTCCGCAGTATTTTTATATTTCGTTCTAAATTTTTTGTTAAAGTTTTTTATTTTCACTTGCGCGAATAATGCATCAGCATTGAAAATAGAAAGCACTTCAACGAAATTTAGTTGACATTTCTAAGAAGAGGAGTTCAGATAAAAATATCGCTTAATTTAACATCGTTCCCATAACTAAAACTTAAAGTCGGAGTAAATGGACACGTAATGACAAACGTTAAACACATAATTTTAATAAGCGGGAAAAGAAAATGTGGCAAGGATTACATATCAGAAAAATTGCAAAAGAGGTAAAGACACTAAAATTATTAAAAGCTATCAAAGGCAAAGCTGGAGAATTTAAATGACTTCCTAAAGATTAGGTGAATGCAGTCAAATTGTGCGCATATCTGAGCCCATTAAAAAGGAATGGTCGAGAAAGGACAATGTTGGTTTGCAAGAATTACTAAGCGACGGTCCTCTTAAAGAGAAATACCGTAAGGATATGATTAAGTGGGGAGAAGAACTTCGTCAAAAAGATTATGGATTTTTTTGCAAATTAGCTATGGATACAGGTAGTAAGCGCAACATTTTCTGTAGTATATGCTGATATTAATTAGGTATTTTCTATCTATTAGCTCTTAGAGAAACAGTCATTGTGAGCGATATTCGCAGAAAGAGCGATATTAAGTATTTTAAAGAGTGCTACAACGGTAAAGTGTTGATTGTACGAATAACATGTTCCGAAGAAACACGTATTAAGCGTGGTTGGATATTCAGACATGGTGTAGATGACGTGGAATCCGAATGCGATTTAGATGACTACGAAAATTGGGACTTGACTGTGGAGAACAATGGTCACCTAGATGGAGACGAAATAATAAATTTAATAATTAGTGAACTCTGATTGTAGCATTGATACGAAATTAAAATTCCATATCTACTATTAGTAAGCCACAAGTATGTGAACTAGGTTTAAAATTTCAAAATATTGGAAACTTACTAGGGAATGACGATGAGAGTTCCAAGGGAAGGCAAGGGTGCGGAAGATCGTGGCTAAGGGAGTCTGGAATTGTACACTGATTGTGGTTCCCCACGTGTATCTTTGTATATTAAATGAGGGAATCCAAAACTTATGGCGATATAAACTGTGGCATCTTCATTTGTTTACAAATATGTGTAAAAGTACAAACTTTTATGTGTTGATGCAATTTTAAGTTATATTTCATGGTCCTTCGGTAACGTATCTTGTTATTATAAGAAAAAAACAATACAAAAAAATTAATTATAATTTGAAATTGATTCAAAACTAAAATTGATAATTTTTTTCGGCGCAAGCAAGTCGTATACACAACATTGCTTCCACGGAAGAGCAGATGGTTAATTAACTCCTTTAAAAGCTTGACGCATTTTTCGTGGCCGACATTCATTAAGTTTTTCGCAAGAAGACCTTGTTCGAAATGCAATATCTTAAGTGCACCTCGCTGATCCTATATACATCCCAAATGTACTGGTACCTTATGTATATTTTTGGTTAATTTTGTGCAATTGGGTTTGGTGAGAATTAATTTAAAGCAATCCAACTTAATGTTCAATAATTTTTGCCGGTGTCCCGAAAATGTATAGCGAGCCGGGCAGTATATTTACTATATTTGTTTACGTTACCTTATTTATTTGTTGCACTCGCCTTCGGCACCACTTAGTGTCTCCGTGGGCTGGCATTTTGATTCGTACGACGAACATTTTCGGTTATGAAGATTTACGTATCCTGAAAGAGACTTTCGGTCATTATTGTAGCGTTCTATTAGTTTTCATATTTAGAAAAATTGAATAATTTTGTTTTTCGTATGGGTTAAAAATTCTTTACGTGTACAAAGCTCATATTCCGCAGCGATTTCAAATATCTTGATTGTTTCCAGTAAAAACATTTCGGGAAAGACGGTTACCGGGTAAGTGTGCTTTAAAGGGTTGAATTATGCCCCCTTTATTGCTTTTAAGACAACCTCCATTTATTGTCAATAACTTTTCACAATCGGACTTATTTGTTAACTGCTATTTTTTTTTTATAATAAAGTTTAGCATGGCTTTTGCATAGACTTCCTCCATCCGTCTGCATATCCGCTACGTAATGTCCTTTCAACATTAAAGCCTTGTAACATGTGCATTTTAGATAGATCGTCTTTGTCATTTTACGATTAAATATTATTAATGATAAATGTTGCATTCTCTCTCTATTGCACTGTCTGCTATTTTTTATGTTTTTTTTGTTTTTTGTCACAAAAAAAAACAGAAAGCTGTTTTTTCTTCAGATTTCAAAAATGTGCTCCATTTTCTTTTATCTTGAAAAAAAAAAAAAACGTTTTTTTTCCAAAAATTTATATGTTAGCTTGATCGGCAAAAAAAATATGTTCACTCCTAACCAACTATTGAAGTCACCAGGCACTCTCTCGGTAAAATTAGTTTTGTGGGATGTCTGTACCTCAAATCTGACAACGCAATATTTGAAATTCATTGCCGCAAGTCCTTATCATAGAAAGTACCCACATTTGCCCGTGCAAATCCCCAACCTCATAACTACTAGGTTTTTACGTATCCGTGACTTTAAAAGTTGAGGTATTAGGTTTGCATTATAACCAAAGTATTGAAACATCCATATGCTGGAAATTTCTACGATGGACTTGCAGGCCTTTTGTAAAACAAATTTTTCGTGCTTTAAAATGATAAGATTTTTCATTTCTTTGAAACTGTTTCTCCACCAAATTCCCGGCTTGCTTACGTAAGATATCCGTGGTGTCCTCACTGTTAAAACTTAGCTGCGTATAATCTAAGATAACTAATTGCCCGAGTGCCAAACGCTGATAATACGCCGATTGCTGACACACAAGAACGTAAAGCACAGCTAATTCAACAAAGCATCTTCATACTTCTGACCTCGACTCACGTGAGCACGTATAGCTGCCAAGACTGATCTATTTACCCTTTCAGAGGCGTTAGTTTAAGGCGAATGTATTGGTGTTGTTAAATGCTTAACATTGCCTTGACATGAATTATGCACGGTTATCTGGCACCAAGCCGTTGGGAACATATATGAAAAATTTTTTCTTCACACAGTTTATAAACTGGTTTAAAAATTTCAACTCGCGATAACGATCCAATATTACCAGTATTCCACTATGCCCTCTACAAGAGTAGGGATTCGGCCCTAAAGTCTAAATAGAACTTTTGGAATAATTATTCTGACAAAAGAGGCCTAAATACAAGATGTGGTTATTTGGTGGTTTTATAAACTTCACACGAATTTACGTAGTCTTTAATCTCATTTACTAATCCAGGCTAGTAATAATAGCATCTTTTCCGTTCAAGAGTTTCATTAATACCGGCATGTGACAAGAGCGGATCGGTTAGAAACTTTAATAAGAACAGTGTGACAAAACGTCAGGTAAAATATTCTGGTGACCTTTTCAAAGTATTTTAAAGTCGTATCCGTGTAGTTTTAACCACTACGTGACTAATCTCGACGAAAGGTTTTGTTAAGACATGGGCCATTTTAAAAAAGTGCAGTCCATTATGACAGTGAATATATGCCCTTCTACATAGTGTTTAAACCTTTTGATACAAAGTGAAGCTCCTAAGCATTCCCCTTCGGTCACTTAATAATCGTGTTGCGCTTTACTTAGTTTTTTCCAAATATATGCAACCGATAATCAGTTTCCTTCTTTTCTGAGCCAAAATACCATCCACTCTTATTTTATTCACATCGCAATGAATAAAGAATTCTTTTGTGAAATCTGGTCTACGTAAAGTCAGAGCTCTTATTAAATATTGTTCCAAATCTTCCAATGAGTTTTGAGCTTCGTTATTCTAAGCAAACTTGTGATTACAATTCAATAAATCGGTTAACGGTGTAGCCAAAGTTGCATATTTATTAATGAACTTCCTATGCCAATCCGTTAGCTCTAAAAACCGACGAATCTTTGACAGATTTTGGATCTGTCTGAACGACACCTTAACCAGTGACGTGGTGTAAATATTTCGCCTCTTTCCTGCAGAATTTTCTCTTTCCTACATTAAGAGTTAAGCCAGAATGATGTAAATAACTGGCAATAGTTGGTAGTATCTTTAGGTGTCGGGACAACTCATCTTATATAATCAGGGTAAATAAAGACTTCGTTACGCAAATTTTCAGGAATCGCTTTGTCAATCAGGTTAGATATTATTTGTGGCGCGTTACATAAATCAAAAGGCCTAGTCTTAAATTAATATAAAGATCTGCCAGGAATAGTAAAAGCGTTCTTGTCTCTCGACGTAGGATGTAGTGGAATTTTCCAAAGTGAACCCTTGAAATCTACCCTAATTATAAATTGGAGTTTCGGCAATCTGCTAAGTACTTCTTCTATATTTGGTATCGGGTAGGCGACTTTCCGGCCTTACACACAAGCGATTTTTGCCTTGCTTATGGGCGATTACCACTGGAGAACTCCATGCACTACTAGATTCTTCCACTACTCCTAACTTCAACATTCTGTCCACTTCGCCATTTGTCAAATATTTCTGTTTCCGTGAATAGGCGAATGTCGTGGGCTTTTTCCAATAAAGTGGAAATGAAATTGTTATGTGTCCGTTTTACATTGCTTCGTTAGGCGTATCTTAGATTTGTTCGAGGGCCTATCAAATTTTTTATATGTAAAAATTTCGTTTGTATACATATGTAAAGGTTTTTTTGAGCTTATTTCTATAACAACAGGAGCATTTAGAAAATCTAATATGCTACCTTCGGAATGCGATTTGAAACTATCGTTTAGTTGTTGGAATATCAAATATATATATTAGATACATCATAGCGATGGGCTGAACATAAATTCTGTTACACAATTCAACTCAAAGTTGATACGCCAAAACCAGTCATTGATTTTTTCTCAAAAAGGCTTCTAACGTTTTGCCATAAAAGGTTGAAACCTTTTCCTAAAGTCTCCTTAGTTAATAGCTCAATCCTACTGTAATATTAAAATTTAATTGTTATAAATTATTTCACTATAATTTAAATACAAGAAATATCAAGAACAAGAAACCTACACCATGAAATATCAAGAACCAGAAACCTACACCAAGAATATTACAAAGATGTTTCTTGGTGTAGACTTCTTGTTCTTCATATTTCTCTGTGTTTATTGTCTGCTTTGCTGGGCGTCAGTGCGCCAAGACTATTAAATTTTCTAAGTGTGGGGCTTATGTCGCATGTCCGATTATCATAAATTAGATATTGATAATGATGCGTTATTTCAAATTTGATTGGTCTTATATATTATTTTCTTAATGTACAATTTTGTCTTACTCTAACTATTTACAAATTAATAACCTAAATAATTATTGGTAACGAAAGCAATTTTACTAAAGTAGATTAGAACAAATGTACGTTTGTGTGTGATAAGCGCACTTAGTAAATTTTTCTCTTTTCACATATTGTGATTGCGGTCATAAAAATTCAATTTGAAAATTTTGAAATGTCATTAAATCTTATTTTTTTTTTCTTTTCTTTATTTTTGTTTAAGTTCTTATCATTATTTTTTTTTTCTACATATTCACGTGATTAGATGATTACACTACTCCCTTCATTTACTTTCACACATTATCAAAAAGTATAGCGTGCAACCAAAAAAGTATAGATTGCGACCAAAATAGTAAATGTTTAATGAGAGAAAGAAACACACAGAGAAAAAAAAAATCCACTCCCTTACTTGTGTTATTATAGTATATGTTGATATGTGTTTATAATGTTTTATAATGTTCTCTTGTAATATTGGATTATTTATTATGCGGACATTTGTTATATTTCTCATTTATTTATTTTTTTACCAAACAAGATATTTTAAAGGGGAAAAAAAAGAATTTTTAAATTTTTATGTTATTATTTTTTTTTTACTAGGAAGTATAATTTTATAATTTTCAACTATGACTATGACAAA